CTACCAGAATGAATTTGACCCAACTTCGGGAGGCAGTGGAAGACAGGAGGGCCTGGTGTGCTCTGGTCCATGGGGTCACAAAGAGTCATGACTTAACGACTAAACAACAACAACCGTATATGCCACTTTCTCCCCATAGGTGGCCAAGGCAGCTCAAAACTTTTAAAACTCTACAATAATAAGTTTAAAATACTATTAAATATATATTTAAAGAAACAATCAAGATTAAAACAATGTTAAAAACATTAAAAATATTTTAAAAACTATCTAAATACCATAAATACAGCATTCTCTTGACCCCGCATGTGTTGCTTAAAAGCCTGCCTGAAAAGGAAAGAATTTGCCTGACAATGAAAGGACAAGAAGGAGGAGGTCAACCTGGCTTCTCTTTATTATTTATTTATATTTTTATAGGCTGCCTTTATCTCAAGAGTTCTTTGCCTGGGACCCAACGTGGCCTACCATACAGTTAAAAGCAACAGAAAATGAAAATAGAATAAAATTATGAGCATTAAAATATAATTAAATTTATTGTGTTATTAAAACAGTTGAAATTAAAAGACTTTGAAATCACTTCATTAAAATGCTAAAATTAGTCTGCCTTTTAAAGAGAGCGATAGAGAGAGAACAGCACATGATTAAAATCTCTTAATTACCAAAGGCCTGCTTGAGTGAAAAGCTCTTTGCCTACCAGCAGAAGGCCCATATGACTTGGAGCTGCCCAGTGAGGCTAGAAAATGTGGGATGGGGCATTTTATAACATTGTCCCAACTTTCCGCCCCCAAATCTCCTGTTGGGTCAAGTTTTTATCTATTGGGAGATGGAGCCAAAGTCTGTTACCTCATCTAACCATGACTGGGATAACTTACTCATTATGTGACATGGTCTCCAACATAGTTGTTAGCTGGCGCTGTCCCTCAAGAGGTCATCACAGCCTTCCCCTTTCTGTGATAATTTGAGGAGAAGTGTGATGTAGATCCCTGCTCTTCGTATTCCAGCTTTGATTTACATGAAAATAAATCCTATTGATTATTCCTCTGCTGCAGAAGATTCTAATAGAACTGAGATATCTTGGCCTGACTAAAGCCATCCAGCACATTAATAAAACCAGTGAGATATGGATGGGAGACTTCCTCGCTTGCTTTCTTTAGAGTTTAATTTCAGATAATGTGGATCAATACCCGTGATACAGAAGGACTGTGAGTGCCACCATGAAATTTGCTGTAAGCTCCCACTCAACTAGCTATCATTTTGTTATCTCTCCATTTACACCCACATTTGGCCATAAGTCTCCAATGACAGGTAAGTGAACATTGTTTCATAGACCTGCTCAGTTTTGTTTTTGACTAATTTGGGTGTTTGAACAATAATTCTTTAGGATATTCAGAACGCTTTCAGGCAACTTTATGAATTCGAGGAAAGGAACGACATTTACTCCTTTTAAAGTTGCATAGTAAAAGGTTCCAAATCATAGGGTAGAAGTTACAAGGTGCACAGAGACCAGAACTTTGCTGTACTGTTTAAAAGTTTTCTTGAATCTTTGTACAAGACTAATTGACTCCTCTTGTAAGGAACCAAGCTCTACAGTATCTGGTTGCATAGGGGCTCCGTAAGCTACATTATCAGGTGATGTGGCAGGATATTCTCTCTTTAGTTCGTTATTGTGATTGTGAGGGTTGTCTGGCTGGGATGATGCCTTGCCCAAGAGTTCCTGTTCCTTGGACACAAGGAGACTAACAGATGCATGCAGATGTTGGTGTTGGACTCTCAGAGGCATGGAAGCCATCTTCTGTCTACTATGAAGCAAGGAGAATTGTCCTTTCAAGCACTGAAATATACAGGTGCGATTCAACATTGACGATGTCCTATATGCCAGCTGAAATGTTTTCTGCATTTTGGTTGAGGGCAACAGTATGCTGGAGATACTGTAGCATACAGCTTCTATTTACAGCTGTCTTGGAAATCAGCACTTGTTGCAAGGACTAAGCCATTGGCATCTGACATTTCTTCTGCTGGATTAGGTCCATGATTCAGTCACTGACTCCTGATGAACTAGATTAGATCACTGCTTCAGCACGTTTGTCAGGTACATGACAGAGGGAAAACCTTATTCACAGACACAGGGCAGCAAGGAGCTCGGGACCCACCTCCTTCATCTCCTCAAACAAGCACAACGTGCTCATGGGCATTCCTGGCCTTTCCATCACCCTCCGCGGTGCCCCACAAGGTTCCTCTGGGAAGTTGTAGTTTATCAAGAGGCCCTTTAGTCCAGAGCCCGGATAGTATAAATGGTCTGAACTGTAGCCTGTGTAATCAAGCCACCATCTGTGAAACCTGCTGCATTGGAGTAATAATACTGTTTATAATGCCTTACAAGGGCATTATATGTATTTTGTGGTAATGTATGTGAACTTTTGTTTCTGATCATGGGGCATTGGTTCAAAATTGGGAAAGGAGTACGACAAGGCTGTATATTGTTCCCTGCTTATTCAACTTATATGCAGAATACATCATGCGGAAGGCTGGACTGGAGGAATCCCAAGCCGGAATTAAGATTGCCGGAAGAAATATCAACAATCTCAGATATGCAGATGATACCACTCTGATGGCAGAAAGTGAGGAGGGTTTAAAGAACCTTGTAATGAGGGTGAAAGAGGAGAGTGCAAAAAACGGCCTGAAACTCAATATCAAAAAAACCTAAGATCATGGCCACTGGTCCCATCACCTCCTGGGAAATAGAAGGGGAAGATATGGA